CAGCGTGAATCTCATTACCAGGCAGACGCTCGGGTCGTAATTCACATGGGGTCTGGGCTCCTCTGTCCCTTATGGCAACCCCAGGCGGCCCAAGGATGAGCTGCTGCGTCGCTGGAGGGAGCAGCCTTTATTCTATCACTAGAGGCCTGGTGCATGACGTGTGTGCAGTGGGGGTCCCTCAGCCCGGCCTGGGCCCTCTCACAGTCCGGGAGCCCTTGGGGGGTGTCTGACTGATGGGCCTAAGCTGTCAGTCGGACATCCTTAGCACTGCCGCAGAAGCAGGAGAGGCTCCCGCCACCACCATCGCTGCGCTCGCCAGCCGTGAGCCTGGCTTCTGGCTGAGCGGCGCTCCTCCTGCCTTGAGCGTCTGCCCTCTGGTGGTCAGTGCACATCATGGCAACCGGTTCTGCCGTCAGTTGATTTGCATGTTAGCCTTTTATTATGTAGGATGTTTCACAAAGGACTTGAGGCAGCTTCCCGACCATTGATCCCTGCCATGGCCATCGGTGGTCATGCCTGGTTTCCGCCCAGTGGTTCAGGGTTCGCTCTAATTCATTTCTCCTGCACCACGGAGCGCGGGTGGACTTGGGCCGGACTGAATCCCAGTCTGGGGAACCTTTACCAAATCTCTCAGGTCCCCAATTTTTTTCAACTTTGGAGGGACCGGGATGAGTAAGATGGTATCAAATGGTTTTTCTGTTTTGCAGTTTTCTTATTCTAGTTTTTGTTGTTGTTGTTGTTTTCAAAGAACATCTTCTTTTACTTCAAAAGTGATAGGAACAGCCTGGATGGTGTGGCTCAGGGTTTGAACGCCAACCTATGAACCAGGAGGTCAGGGTTCGAGTCCAGTCAGGGCACAGGCCCAGGTTGCAGGCCCCATCCCCAGTGTGGGTCATGCAGGAGGCAGCCGATCCGTGACTCTCTCTCATCAATGATGTTTCTATCTCTCGCTCCCTCTCCCTTCGTCTCTGAAATCAAGAAGAAGAAAAAAAATTTTTAAGTGACAGGAACAGTTTAGTCCTTGCCAGCAGCCCTGGCCATGAACTTCATCCGTAAACGCAGTCACTGGGTGTTGGTATCATTTTCTGTTTGGTTTCTGAGAAGTTTCTCTTAGGACACAGCCACCTTCAGACTCAGAGGTCGCCCACCGCGAGGGGCTGTCTGCCTGTCCGCTGGCCCTGCTCCGGGCCGGCCGGCTCCGGGGGCTTTAACTTGTGCTCTGGACCAAGCCCGGCAGCGGCCTCGTTGGGGCCTCGGGCGGGGAAGCTCGGGCGGCCCATGTCCCGTTTGAGGCGGAGCGTGTCCCTAGGGCTGGGGCCGGGGGCTGCGCTCCCCTCTCTGACCTGCAGTTGTCATTTGCATCCCGAACACTCAAGGCCAGGCAGGGGCAGAGGAACGGAAGCAGCGGGCTCACTGCGGGGACCCCTCACCGTTGGGCCCCCGCCTGCATGTGCACCACGCGGGGCCTGCCCCGATCTCCGCTCCTCTCCATTAAACTCCGCCCCGTGTCCCAGGCCTGTGCCTGGACCAGGAAAACTCTGCTCCGGCCCTGCAGGGGCGCCCCCTTCTGGTGGCTGCTGGTTCTGTCCTCTTCTCTGCTGCCATGTACATAGTTACGTTGCATTCTCTGTGCTCTCCCGGAATCTGTCCTCCTTGGCACCAGCACCGGCACTGGCACCGGCACCGAGGTGGCCTGTTCTCCGCTCAGTTTCTTCTCCTAAATCCCAGGCAGACGCCGTGCACGACCGATGCCTGTCGGACCCCGGGGAGTGGGGGTTAATGGATGGGACGGAGAGTGGGGGGCAGGGCTGGGTGTGCCGTGTGCAGTGACGCTGGACTGACCCCTGGCTGCGCTGGTGGGACGTGCTCCTAACACCGCATTTCACGTGTGGGGAATGGCTGAGCGCTGTGTGAAAAGGGAGGAAGGGGGGCCACAGCCCCCCTTGGCCGCAGGCTGGTGACTCGTCTGCAGTCGGCCCGGGGTCAGGGGTGGGGCGGGGAGTCACGCGCCTCCTCCAGGGTCTCATCAGCCAGTGTGGTGTTGCCGTGGGCCAGTTTTCCCACTGGCACACGGACTCAGGCAACGTCGCTCCCACTGACTACCCTTTCCACGCCCAGAAACCCGCCCGTGGAGGGCGGCCGAGGTGGACAGCCACCGGGGGCCTTCAGAGTCACACGCTTCCAAATGGAGCTAAACAGATGCTCCTCCAAACGAAACGTGGCCAGAAATGACCAGCTCGGCCCTGGCCGGTGTGCTCAGTGGATAGCGCGTCGGCCTGCGGACCCAATCCTCTTCTCTGCTGCCATGTACATAGTTACGTTGCATTCTCTGTGCTCTCCCGGAATCTGTCCTCCTTGGCACCAGCACCGGCACTGGCACCGGCACCGAGGTGGCCTGTTCTCCGCTCAGTTTCTTCTCCTAAATCCCAGGCAGACGCCGTGCACGACCGATGCCTGTCGGACCCCGGGGAGTGGGGGTTAATGGATGGGACGGAGAGTGGGGGGCAGGGCTGGGTGTGCCGTGTGCAGTGACGCTGGACTGACCCCTGGCTGCGCTGGTGGGACGTGCTCCTAACACCGCATTTCACGTGTGGGGAATGGCTGAGCGCTGTGTGAAAAGGGAGGAAGGGGGGCCACAGCCCCCCTTGGCCGCAGGCTGGTGACTCGTCTGCAGTCGGCCCGGGGTCAGGGGTGGGGCGGGGAGTCACGCGCCTCCTCCAGGGTCTCATCAGCCAGTGTGGTGTTGCCGTGGGCCAGTTTTCCCACTGGCACACGGACTCAGGCAACGTCGCTCCCACTGACTACCCTTTCCACGCCCAGAAACCCGCCCGTGGAGGGCGGCCGAGGTGGACAGCCACCGGGGGCCTTCAGAGTCACACGCTTCCAAATGGAGCTAAACAGATGCTCCTCCAAACGAAACGTGGCCAGAAATGACCAGATCGGCCCTGGCCGGTGTGCTCAGTGGATAGCGCGTCGGCCTGTGGACCCAAGGGTCCCGGGTTCGATTCCGGTCAAGGGCATGTGTCTCAGTTACAGGCTCCTCCCCGGCCCAGGCCCTGGTCGGGGCACGGGCAGGACACAACCAAGCGATGTGTGTCTCTCACATCGATGTGTCTGTCTGTCTCTCCCTCTCTCTTCCACTCTCTAAAAATCAATTCCTCGGGCGACGATAAAAAACAAACACTCGGATCTGCCTTCGTTGGAGACTCGGCAGGCGTGGGCTGGGGTGCAGCGTCGTTCCATCGGGTTTTAGGGAAGCGGAGCCGCTGGCGGAGGCCCTCGGGGCTTCCTCGGCCCGGGGTCAGGGGTGGGGCGGGGAGTCACGCGCCTCCTCCAGGGTCTCATCAGCCAGTGTGGTGTTGCCGTGGGCCAGTTTTCCCACTGGCACACGGACTCAGGCAACGTCGCTCCCACTGACTACCCTTTCCACGCCCAGAAACCCGCCCGTGGAGGGCGGCCGAGGTGGACAGCCACCGGGGGCCTTCAGAGTCACACGCTTCCAAATGGAGCTAAACAGATGCTCCTCCAAACGAAACGTGGCCAGAAATGACCAGCTCGGCCCTGGCCGGTGTGCTCAGTGGATAGCGCGTCGGCCTGCGGACCCAAGGGTCCCGGGTTCGATTCTGGTCAAGGGCATGTGTCTCAGTTACAGGCTCCTCCCCAGCCCAGGCCCTGGTCGGGGCACGGGCAGGACGCAACCAAGCGATGTGTGTCTCTCACATCGATGTGTCTGTCTGTCTTTCCCTCTCTCTTCCACTCTCTAAAAATCAATGGAAAAATACCCTCGGGCGACGATAAAAAAACAAACACTCGGATCTGCCTTCATTCGAGACTCGGCAGGCGTGGGCTGGGGTGCAGCGTCGTTCCATCGGGTTTTAGGGAAGCGGAGCTGCTGGCGGAGGCCCTCGGGGCCCCGTCCCGTCTGGGAGCTGCTCGTCTGAACGCCCTCAGGGGGCCCAGCGTTCCCTCTTCTCTCTGGTCCTAGGTCCTCGCCAAGGAGAGAGAGGTCTCCGAGTGGAAGGAGAAGTACGAGGAGAGCCGGCGCGAGGTCATGGAGATGAGGTCAGTGGCGGCCCCGGACAGGGTCCTCCCCACACAGGGCCCTCCGTCCCAGGTTCAAGTTCCCCCGTGTGTTCCCTGTCTCACTCGGATTGGAGTCGCATGGGCAGGAGGTGCCCGATGCGATCACACGCCCACAATGAGAGCTCTCCTCCCCCCTCGCGGCCCCAGCTCCACGCCCCGCAGGCAGCCGCCGGCACCGTTTCCGGGGAATCCTTCCAAGCATTTTCCATTTCTCACGGCAAACGTGCCAGTGATCTGCGGAGTGGACGGCCCCTTGCGCCGTTGTGACTTAGCGTGACCTGGACAGATTCAGATAAAACGGCTGGAGTTCCGAGGAGAAATCAGGGAGGGCTGCTGGAGGAGGCGGCGTTCGCCCTGGGCCTCGGGGAACAGAGAGGCTGGGAGGTGGGAGTAGGAAGGGAAACGCACAGCATGGCGAGGCACGGGGGTGAGGAGGCCCGAGGAAGCCTTCTGTTCTCACTGGGCCGCTGTGCGCTGAGCTGGCGTGGAAGGCGGTCAGATGGGGAGGAGCCGGGCAGGCGGCTGAAGGCCCTGGTGGTCAGGCTAAAGGTGTGGCCTTTAGGTTCCTCTCCGTGGGTGGGGGGAGACCTGGAAGGCCTTGCACAGGGCGTGGTGTGAGCAGCCTCAGGCACGAGGAAGAGAGCCCTCGGGGTGTGAGCAGCCTCAGGCACGAGGAAGAGCCCGTGGGGTGTGAGGCGAGGGCAGGGTTGGAGGTGAGCCCAGGCGTGTCCTCCGGCCCTCGGTCCGGCTGCCGACGTCCAGCCCCGTGTGAAATAACCCGTTCTGTGCTGTTGTCACGGTGCCGACGCGTGTCCACTTCTCTCGCAGGAAGATCGTGGCCGAGTATGAGAAGACCATCGCGCAGATGATAGGTGGGTGTCCTGCCGGGGGCTCCCCCGGGCCCCTCAGTCGGGCGTCCCTGGCTCTGCCCCGACCGAGGGCCTGGGGCCTCCTGGACACACCTGCCAGAGGCCCCTCACCCTTACTCAGGCCTGTGGGGGCCATGGCGTCACCTCGATGGCCATCGCGGGACCGGCCCGGACGGCCCACCTCCTGGGGAAGGGATTCGGGTTGGTTCCTGGGATGTTGGGGCTTTTGCTCCTCGGAGAGACGAGGAATCCAGGCTCAACCCCGAGGTCGCTTAGCCTCACCTGCCCCTCGGCCTCACCCGGGGCCTGGACAGGCTGGGGGAGCTGTGGCCGCCTGCCCGTGGCTTCCCTCCTGATGTGGGCGCCTGGTATCTGACCAACACTGTCTCTCTCGCCGGGCACGG